CTGCCTCTGAGATTGGACAGAAAGTCACAACCCTTCTTAGCAAGTGCTCTGGACAGACGGTTGGAACTGGAAACAGATCACGTTGATTAGCCATCCCTATACCTTTGTCTTCTCATTACTCAGTGCATATACACATACCTCTCAACGGGATAGTGGACAGCATGCCTCGGAGTCCTCGGAAGTCTAAACAAGGTCCTTCTTTCCCCCTGAATTCCATCTCCGCCTCGGCACGTGAATGGTCGTTCACATGTGAAAACATTTCCCCTCAAAACCTGTAGACGTTTCATGTTTTCTCAGAGCCTTAGAGTCTGATGTCCATTAAGTCCGTATTTTAGCACGGTGTCTGTCTGCTTGCCATTAATGTCCCTGGCTGGGCCTCCAAAGGCTCCTTCGGAAGGCGGTGTGAGCAGGGGGACTGGAGATGGCCTGGGGCCTCTGTTGTTGTTGTTGTTGGCCCCGTGACATGTTCCTATGAAAGATTTCTTCAAAACCCTCCTCTTCTTTCATTTTTTTTAGTTCCTTTTATCTCCCTTCTTTTTCCCCTTTCCCTTTTCCCCCAGAGAGAACTAATGTGTTTAATGTGTCTTTTTTAAGTGGGGTTTTTAATGTGTTGTTTTGTGCGCATATATTTTGTATTTTCATAAACAGTATGGCATGCCCTCTATGATCCTTAGGGATACTTTTTAAAAATATTTTTTTTTTATTAATTTCAGAGAGGGAGAGGGAGAGAGAGAAACATCCGTGATGAGAGAGAATCTCTTGTATGCCCCGCACTGGGGAGCCCGCAACTCAGGCATGTATCCTGACTGGGAATAGAACTGTGACATCCTGGTTCATAGGTCAATGCTTAACCACTGAGCCACGCCGGCCAGGTATTAGGGATGCATTTTTTATATATATTACACACTCAGGAGCAGAGCGGCTGTGTGCACTTACTGTGACTGATTTGCTCTCTAGATGGCTGCCTTATCCTACACTCCTGTCAGTGCATGAGGCTATGACCTAGAGCAGTGATGACAAACCTTCTGAGCTTGGCGTGTCAGCATTTTGAAAAACCCTAACTTAGCTCTGGTGCCGTGTCACATATAGAAAGTTTTTGATATTTGCAGCCATAGTAAAAGACTTATATTTTTGATATTTATTTTATATATTTAAATGCCATTTAACAAAGAAAAATCAACCTAAAAAATGAGTTCACGTGTCACCTCTGACACGCGTGTCATAGGTTCGCCATCACTGGCCTAGAACCTCAAACACATGACATTATTCACCTTTCCAACTATGATAATCTAATGGATGTCAACTGGTATTTCATTTTTAATTTTCATCCTTCTGATTACCATAGAGTTTGAGCACTTTTTCATATGCTTGCTAGCCTTTTGGGTTTCCTACCTTGTAAACTGCGGTTTAGATTTTTTACGCATTTATTAGAGTTCCTGTCTTTTACTTGTTAATTTGCAAGAGTTCTTTGTGTATCCTAGATATCAGTCTCTTCCTGGTTTTGAGCATTGCAAGTATCTTGCCCCAATCAGAAAAGTGTTAGTTACTTTATTGATGGTATTCTTCAGTGAACAGATAATCTTATTTTTTGATATAATCAAATTCATCAGTTTTTTGTTAGTGAATGATTTGAGCTTTTATGGTTTTGTTTAAAAAGTTTTACCCCACTTCTATTAACTTCATGTTTTTCCCTCTTACATGTGGGGTCTGTTTTTGTATGTACTGTTTGCTGGGTGCACATGCAGTCTTCCTTTTTCCCACACAGTGAGCCAGTTCCCAACACATACTAGACGACCCCTCCTCTCCCTGCCGATTAGTAGAGCCGCCTTCATTATACGTCAAGTTCCCATGTGCACACAGGTCTCTACGAAATTCCTGTTCTGATCCCTTGATATAGTGATGTGGCCTTATGTCAACATCCAAAGTTGGAATTGTGTGTTATTTTTTATTACTAGATTTCAATATCTGACTTAGTAAACACAGATTGCTTAACTTGCTTTGTTTTGCGGGGATAGAAACAGGCTGAAATTAATGAAAGGATGTAGCCAGGGAGCATGGATTCAGTTTCCTGCACTACCAACGACAGAAAACAATTCTTATAACATGCCTCCCCCCACCCCCCAAAAAAAGAAGTTATCAGGGGGCTGCTGAACTGAGAGCAGCACTAGCCAGTCAGGCCTGGGGGTGGCAGCGAGGAAAGTGAGCTGCCAGCTCTTGGCAGCAATAGCTGACAGCTCCCCTTTTCTGGTACTTTCTCAGCTCTGGGTGGCAGGCATGCCAATCCCCAGATAAGAGACTGTGATAGGCCCAACCTTTGTTATGTGGGTCCTGTGACTGGCTACCACATGAAAACCAAAGGCCAGGGATGGGACAGTTTGCTAAGGAGCCAGGGTGAAGGGAGCCGTGGCTGCAGGAGCTGGATGGGGAGCTGAGCAGGCAAAAGCGGACGATGTCCCCTGCGAGGGTCCCACAGCCCAGCAGTGACTTAGTCCTTCCCGCTCCAGGTCAGTGCTCTTCCCCACGCATGATGGTTTTTAATAAAGACTTGAGCGACTCCCAAGTCCGTGGTCTCTGCCTCTCCAGGCCCCCACTGCTCTGGGCCAGCCTGTTCTGGTCCTGTAACTTTGGGCGAGAGGAGAGGTGGGTTTGGGCAGGGAGGGGAGCTCTGACTGGGGTGGGCTCTGGGTCATGCTTTCTGCTTTGTTTCCAGGGATCTGCAGGGCTTTGCTCAGGGGCCAGCACCTAGGAGGCCAAGAGGGCAGCTGAGGGGACTTCGTTGTCAGAAATGTACCCCAGCCAGGAGCAGGGCGTGCCCCGTGGTGAGGGGGTTACCGGAGCCCCCGCTGGCACTGTGGTGCCTCAGGAGCTGCTGGAAGAAATGCTTTGGTTTTTTCGGGTAGAAGATGGTAAGTGGCAGGGCACTGGGGACGGGGGAGTGGGGTGTGTGCTCTCAACACAAAACACAAACTGGACTCTGGCTGAAGCCCTGGACACGGTCCCTTCCTCCACGGCAGGCTGCACATTTCCTTCAAAGCAGCTGAGGGGCCTCGGGTACCCAGAAGGGTGTAGTGAACCTCACGGTCCTTTTCCCGGGAAGTGGTCATTCATTTACCCACCCATTCAATCATTCACAAGTATTTAAGTTCCATCTGTGCGCCAGGCACTGTTTTCAGCACTGAACAACACCAAAACTCTGTCTTCATGAAGCGTATGCTTTCGTGAAAGGGAGAGGAAATAAACAGGATAAACATCAAAATGCCTAGTGCATTGGTAATGAGTTGGGCAGTGGCATTTTGTTAAACGCTCTGGATGATTCCAGGACTAAGAGAAAAAATAAGGGAGAAAATGAAGCGGAGAAAGGGAATAGAAAGTAGGTAGCAAGGGTAGGTAATGTGGTCACTCAGAAGGTGACATTTGAAGGAAGGCCTGTAGGAGGTGAAGGACTTAGTTATATGGGGGAAGGCCGTTCCTGGTAGAGGGAACAGCCGATGCCAAAGCTCTGAGGCTGGATCCTGCCTCCGTTCACACTCCGTTCAGTGTGGCCGAATCTCGGTTATCTAGATTCAGAGTAGCCACTTTATGTGTTACCTGTGGGCAGTTCTTGAATCCATTTTCACTGCCACCCTTCTTTCCTTCCTTCCCCCCTCCATCCCTCCCTCTCTTCTTGTCCCCTTGGTTTCTCCCTTCCTTCCGTTCCTGGCACTGCCTAATGCCTCCAGGCCCTGGCAAAACTCTGAAGATTGTGAAGTTTATCTTGACTCACCCCTCCCCACCCCCCTATCATCCAATTTCAGTGCTGGCCCATTAGATTAGGGCTGTTCCAAGGCAGAGATCTTGTCCTC